GCCCACATCAACCGATCCGCAATAAGCACGCAAGCCTTTGACGACCACAACGCAGGTGACGTCGCATAACGCGACGCGCCATCGAAAACGTTCGACGCGCGCCTCGGAATGACATCGGGCTTCATGGAACGTCGAATGGAAAACATGAAAAACCGCCCTGTGGGCTCCGAGACTCAAAATTACTGATGTGAAGGATTTCGGGTCGTCGAGCAACCGCAACCGGGCGACACATTTCAAAACGCCCGCGGGAGCGCGCAACCGCAACCGCAACGGCAACCCGGCGACACATTTCAAAGCGCCCGCGGGAGCGCGCAACTGCAACCGCAACCGCAATCGGGCGACACATTTCAAAGCGCCCGCGGGAGGGCGCACCCGCAGGGTTTCAAGGGGGTCGATTGCGCGTGCACTTGTGCGTAAGCTGCCCGCGGAAGGTGGCGCGTAGCCACCTTAATGCGGTCTGCCGCGCGAGCGGCTTGCGTGATCCACCGCGCAAGGTCGTCGCGCAATCCAGTGCAATCCCATTTCTGATCGTGTCTCCCCGGGGGGTCAGGCGAGTGGAATTGCCTCAGCCACGTCTCGGCCACGCTCGTGGGACTGCCCCCCGCAGGGTTTCAAGGGGGTCGATTGCGCGGGCACTCGCGCGCATGCCGCCCTCGTAAGTTCGCGCGTCTGCCGCGCGAGCGGCCTGCGTGAGCCACCGCGCAAGGTCGTCGCGCATTCGAATGCAACCCCCCTTCTGATCGTTTCTCCCGGGGGGGTTCAGGCGAGTGGAGTTGCCTCAGCCACATTTCGGCCACGCTCGTGGGACTGCCCCCCGCAGGGTTTCAAGGGGGTCGATTGGGGGCGGGGGACGACAAGGAGAAGAAGGAGGAGCCACTGGCGGAGGGCCCGACGACGAGCCCCCGCGTGGCCTGCGGTTCTCCGCCGGGACATTGCAGCGGGGAATCCCTATTCCACGCTGCTGCCCTTGATTTATCGTTTAAAGTCGATGTCGGAAAAAGTGGACTTCACCTCTGAAATATCGAGGTTTCCTTAAAGGCAGTAAAATTCCAAGAGCACGATCTGCGTGAGGGGTGGCGAAAAATGGCCTTCGTCCTCACAATTGAAATCCGCTGGCCCCCTTCGACCTCGTAATTTATCGCACAAGAATTCCGCCGGCCCCCTTCAAGTAAAAACCGGGGGGTAAACCCACTAAAAGAGAACCCTGGGCCCACGCCCTTTCCGGGAAAAACCAAGAGCACGGGAGAATAGACCCGAAGAGCTAAGGAGCACGGCAGAAGATGCCCCAAGTGCGAAGAAGCACGGCAGAAAATGACCAGGAGCACGGCATAATAGACCCCCAGAGCTCAGGGGCACGGCAGAAAAAGACCAGGAGCACGGCAGAATAGGCCCGAAGAGCGAAGGAGCAAACCAGAAAAAGACGAAGAGCACGGCAGAATAGAACCCAAGAGACAAGGAGCACGGCAGAAGATGCCCCAAGTGCGAAGAAGCACGGCAGAAAATAACCAACGGCATAATAGACCCCCAGAGCTCAGGGGCACGGCAGAAAAAGACCAGGACCACAGCAGAATAGACCCCAGAGCTAAGGAGCACGGCAGAAAAAAGACCAGCAGCACGGCAGGATAGGCCCCATGAGCGAAGGAGCACGGCAGAAACAAAAACAAACAGCACGGCAGAATAGACCCCAAGAGCTGAGGAGCACGGCAGGCGAAGGAGCATGACAGAAAAAAAACAGGAGCACGGCAGAATAGACCCCAAGAGCTGAGGAGCACGGCAGAATCGGCGCCAGGAAAGAAGGAGCATTGCAAAACACGACCAGTGACCAGGAGCACGGCAGAATAGACCGCGAGAGCTACGGAGCACGGCAAGATAGATGCAATAATACAGCATGATACGCCCCAAGGAAGAAGGAGCATGCAAGACAAACACAAGGAGCACGGCAGAATAAACCCCGAAAGCGAAGGATCACGGCAGAATATGCTCCAAGAGCTAAGGAGCACGTCAGAAAACGACCAGGAGCAGAGCATCATAAGCCCCAAGAACAAAGGATTGTGACATACAATGGCCAGGAACATGGCATAATAGGCCCGTAGAGCGAAGGAGGACGGCACAAAAAACGAGCATTGCAGAATAGGCCCCGTGAGCGAAGGAGCACGGCAGAACTGCTCATTCTCTGCCTTGCTCTTTTGTCGCCAGCCATGCTCCGCCCGATTTGGTGAGGATGTATGCAGCGACAGCGCGATTTTTAACACGAGAGGTAGTAAAAACGCCACTCCAAGATATCATTTTTGTTAGGATGTCTCAGGCGAGACGCTCGTTTTTGAACATCTGTCGAATTCGCGGCTTCCCATGTTTAAGGGATGTCTCAGGCGAAACGCTCATGTTTGATGAAATCGATGTTGTGAACAGTTCATTGTTGTAAAGATGTCTCAGGCGAAATCGCCATTTTGGATCGTCTCGAGGGCGCTCCTGGGGGTCACATTTGGGCTTGTTTGGGGCCTTTGGGGGCCTTCTTGATGCCTTACAAAACCGTTACAGTCCGATGTTACACACATTCATTTTTTTCAGGATGTCCCTAGCGAAATCGTCATTTCTAGATGACTGGCTTAAACCATCTAGAAGCCTTTTCAGGAGCGATCCCAAGACGATGTTAAAACAGCAGTTTTCAAAACGATGTTGTTCGATGTGTTATTTTGTTGAAGATGTCACTAGCGAAATCACTATTTTCAGCAACCTTAAGGGCGCTCGTGGAGCCATGTTGTGGCCTTCTTTTGCTTCCTGATGCCCTCCTGAAATCATTACGATGCGATGTCGCACGCATCAATTTTTTGAGGATGCCCCTACCGAAATCGACATGTTTTGAAGGCTGTCTTGGGCCGTTTGGAAGCCTTTTCAGAAGCAAAGTCAAAACTATGTAAGAACAACAGTTTTCAAGTCGATGCTGGTGTATGTTTTCACTTTTTTGAGGATGTCCCTAACGAAATCGCTATTTTCGGAAGTCCCCCAATCGTTATGACAGCCATCTTGACGTGCTTTTTGGCCTCTCATTTCGTCATCTTGAGGTACTTCGAGAACGATATCAAGACGACGTTGAGGACATCTCATTTTGTTGAGGATGTCCCTAACGAAATGCAAATATTCTGCCGTGCTCTTCGTTCTGGTCCGCCGTGCTGCCGCTCGTTTTCTGAGGATGTCCCTAGCGAGATCGCAATTGTTAACATAAGAGTTAGTTAAAGACTTCAGTCGTCATCTCATTTTTCGAGGATGTCCCGAGCGAAACGCTCATTTTCACAGACGGCGACATTTCGCTGTCATCAACTGTTCGAGGAGGTCTCGAGCGAAACGCTTGTTTTTGTTAAACGCGATGTCGCGAAGATCTCATTTTTGTGAGGATGTCTCTCGTAAAATCGCCATCCCAAGGAATCCGCTAAGCCTGTATACCGTGCGACCCGCCACCCCCTATAGTTAAGAGATCTCTTACTGATATGAGGAGGATTCAGCCAAAGCGTCCAGCTCGCTTCTCGTTCCTCGAAGACGCTTCCCGTCATCCGCCGGCCCTCTTCCCGTCAGATCCGGGTGTAAACAGCTAAAAGAGAACCCTGGGCCTGCGCCCTTTCCGGGAAAAAACATTGCTGTCAGTACAGTGGGGGCTCGACCACAAGAAACCAAACCCTGAGACCCCAGGACGTCCATCGATTTTTGGTGTGGGAACGTCACGCTTCCCATGGCAAAACTATCAAAACCCAAGAAGTCCAGTGCACCCTGGGGCAAGCAGGGTGTTTCTTGGCACGGGCCTCCACTATACTGCGCACATGGACGGCCCTGAACCGACATGGGCACCTGCCACTGCGTGCCGGACACCTACCGCTGCACGCCGCTGTCACGCTGTCAGGCTCCTTGCTTCTGAATCTATGCCCCGGCGCACGGGGGCGGAAGGACTGCAATTCCCCGTGCGCGCAAGCCTGTCGCGCAAGCGCAACCCTAAACCTACCGCACAAGCGAACGCATGCATTCATTCATGGATACGCGTCCGTGCGCGCCGGTGAATCACAATATGCGATCAAGGTGTGCGAACCCTACCCTTACCCCCTACGATTTCTGAGGGGGTGGGGGGGGTCACTTCGCTCGGGAGCTCCCGAAAAAAGTGAACCCCACCCTCCCCTCAGAAATCGTGGGGGGTAGGGGTAGGGTTCGCATGTGGCCCCCTAGTAATGTCAGCTGCGCTTCACCAGCCCCTCTGCGGGGGCACCAGGCCGCGAAGTCCAGGCGCTCAAGTAGCATGACCGCTTGGAGGTTCATGAAGCTTTCCTAAAGTCATCTCTGATGCAAATTGGTCATCGGTGAGGTCATTGGTGCACCAACAACATTCATTATTATGGAAACATCGTGCTCTGAATCCCACCAGCTCACTGGGCGTACGGGAGGCTCCTGCCTTGACGATGAGGAGGGGGGAGAAGAGGAGAATTGAAAAGAGGAAAGGAGAGAACGAGAAAGGAAGGCAGGAGGGCGGGCGAGGGGATGGGTGGGAAAATGAACATGAACAGTAATCCAGTATAGGCTGGGCGCAGTGCAGCCTGCACCGAGGACGAAAAATGAGAAGAGCAGAGAGGAGAGAGAGGGAGAGAGAGAGGAAGAGAGATATTGAGAGAGAAAGGGGGGGAGAAAGAGAGAGAGAGGGAGAGAGAGAGAGAGAGAGAAAGACAGAGAGAGAGAGAGAGAGAGGCACAGAGAGAGACAGAGAAAAAAGAGAGAGAGAGAGAGAAAGAGAAATTGTGAGAGAGAGAGAGAGAGAGAGCGAGAGGGGGATGGAGAGAGAGAGAGAGAGAGAGAGAGAAAGCGAGAGGGATGTAGAGGGAAAGAGGGATAGAGAGAGAGAGAGAGCAAGCGAGGGATGGCGGCGTGTGGAACCAAACGTTCTGTCCGACGTCCCAGGGGGCTCCCGCAGCAGCCCGCCCCCGCTGCGACGCTCGACGGCAGCCCAGCCGCGGCGGCCCTCGGGCCTCTCGGCCTCCTGCTCCGCCACCTGGCGGGGAGCCGGGTGGCCCCCAGACCGACCCTGAGGGGCCGAAAAATCGAAGGGCGGTGCTAGACTTGGAAGCCTGAGATCGTCGGAGATCTGGGGGGGAGGAGGAGGCGGCGGAGGAGGAGGACGACGACGACGACGTCGACGACGACGGCGGCGGCGGCGACGACGACGGCCAGGTGGGGAGGGCATGCGCGGGTTGCCAGAGACCAGACAAGCGGGTGCTACTACTCGCCAAATCTCGCTGCTCGCAAATGGCCTGGACCCGCTGCGGGGCTTCACGATACATCGCACAGAGGCAGACGTATGGTTTTTCGGACGTTTGCGAGTAGACACTTTGCGAGTAGTGGAACGCGCTCGGCGAGAGAGACGCGCGGGGCACTGGGAGCGGCAAGGGGAAGTCTCCCAGTGGGAGAAAAGATACCGATGCCGGTGCCCTTCCCTTCCCTCGCTCTCGTCTTGCTGTGGGACCTCCCGGGAGTCCCTCGTCGCCACGGCTGGGTTCGCCTCGAAATGCTGGTCCGCACGCACCCGAGGAGAGTTCCGGGAAGTAGCGGTACCAGAATATCGGCGAGCTTCCAGGGCGGATGAAAAGTGGCGCAGTCGTTGCAGAGTCGAAGCGCTTCCTAACTCCCAGACACAGGGCGGCGCCCCTGGCCATGCAGGACGGACAAGCGGTTCGTTATGGTTCATGCATAGTTTTTCGGGCGCGGCACGTCCAGCTCACAGCCACCCCACGAGCTGCTTGCGTTTCAGCCTCGCGGAATCCCAACAGACCACAGATCAAACCAGCAAGGCACGACACGCGTCTTTGTGATTGCCCGCCCAAAACTTGAATGTACCCCCCCTTCGCCACACCACGAAGGTCCGACCGCTTCACAAATAACAGCTGATCACAAGTGGGTCATCTGCGTCGTACATCATCGCCACCACCGCAAAAGAGATAGCATGTGCTAAGATCCGTTCCGACAGAACCCCAGAATAACCATGACGCTATGTATGTATGTATGTATGTATGTATGTATGTATGTATGTATGTATGGATATATATATATATATATATATATATATATTATATATACATATATATATATATATATATTGTCGCGCACGCAAATTACATAATTGGAATCAAGCATCTCCCAGGGGTGAATCGCCGAGCGAAATTGTTTGGCAACCCGACATAGTAATTGAGTACATAGTCCGCGGGGGTGGGAATCAGAGAAATAGAAGGGAGGAAGGGCCATGGCAATACCAGGCCGCCCTCTCGAAGGGTCCACTTTCGTGGCCGGGGACGCCTGCCCTGCTGCCAGCGGCGCCGCTGCAAGCATCCCGGGGGCCTTGCCCGCCCCTTCCGCGGGGGCCGCCGTCCCCGCCGGTGCTGGGGGCGCTGCTGCGGGGCTTCCTGCTGAGGGCAGTGGAAGGTCACCGACGGCGGCGCAGGCCGGTGGCCTGACTGGGCCTGCTGAGGGCCGTTGGAGGTCACCGACGGGGGGCTTGGTTGCGGCTTCGCAAGCCCCTCCGGCGGACTCAAAGGGTGTGATCACAACGGTGAACGTTTCCTCCTACGGCAAGCTGGAGGAGCTGCTCGCGTCGAAGCAGTTCCAGTCGACGATCGTCTTCGCCCAGGAGCACCATGCGGGGCCTGACAAGGCGGCGGCTTTGCAGAGTCGCGTGGAGGTCCTCGGGTACCATGGCGTGTGGGGCACCGCCGTGGCCTCCACCACTTCAGACAGCGGTACCCAGGGCGGCAATGCTGTCGTGGCTCGGCGCGGCGTCACGGTGACGCTGCCCCCTGGCCGCGCTGATGGCGACATCGTCCCTGGGCGAGCGGTGGCGGGCCACGTTCACTGGGGAGTTGCCGGCGGCATCGTTTGTGTGTCGGTCTACCTCCACGACTCCGTGGGGCTCGTAGCCTCCAATTTGAGCATCCTGCACGCGGTCGGTCTGTTCTTGATTGACATGACTGCCAAGGGCGTGGCCTGGATCGTCGCGGGCGACTTCAACATGGAGCCAGCCGTCATTGAGCTCTGGGGACAGCGAGCCCTCTCCGAACCCGAAATTTCAGCGTCTTGACTGTAGGCTGCCATCTGCGACTCGGGATCAGCAGGCCCGAGATGGATCGAATCGCGAGATTGGATCGCAATCGGAAGCGAATCGGATTGCCAAATTCGCCGGCCCAACGGGCCAGGGCGTGCTAAGATCTCCGGTACCTGGTTAACAGTATTTCTAATTCGCGCGCGCGGGGCGGCCCCTGGGGGTCCCCCGACGAAAAGTACCCCGGCAAGGTCCCGGCAAGTCCCCGGCAAGGTCGGGCCAGAGATGCCGGAGCCCTGTTACAGGGCCCCAGGACGGGCCAAGAGGTCCCCAAGAGGCCTCCAAGACGGTCCAAGAGGGCCCCGAGACGGCCAAAGATCGCCCGAAGACGCCCAACAGGGCCCCAAGACAGCCCAAGAGGCCTCCAAGACGCCCCAAGGGCCTTCCAAGAGGCCTCCGAAGAGGGCCCCAAGAGGCCAAAATCGTTGATTTTCATTGTTTTTTATATGTTTTTTGCGTTCTGGCTTTTTCGGCTTCCGGACGCTCCAAGACGGCCCAAGAGGCCCCCAAGACCGCTCCAAGACGGCCCACGAGGCTCCCAAGACGGCCCCGGAACGGCCCAGGAGGGCCCCCAAGACGGCCCAAGTGCCGCCCAAGACGGACCAAGAGGCCCCAAGACGGGCCCAAGAGGGGCTCAAGAGGGGAACCGAGAACTGAAAAATCGAGCCCTCCGCCCCAGAAGGCGCCCAGGAGGCCCCAAAAAGGCCCCAAGAGGCCCCCAAGAGGCCCCAAGACGCCCCAAGAGGCGCCCAAGAGGCCCAAAAGAGGCCCCAAGAGGCCCCAAAACGGCCCCCAAGAGGCCCCAAAACTCGGCTAGCCCACAACGGTGCGACAATATGGGCCGGCGGAATGAGCGAAGCGATTAAATAATCATCTGAACCAGAACCGCATCGGATCACCGCGCCTGTCTACGGCTGGCCCCAGACGATGCCAAGTGAATCGGGGGCGACGATGGGGGCGAATACCTCAGGGGAGAACAATGCGAGTATCCAAGGGCGCCGGTGGTCTGTGCCTTCGGCGAGGCTCCAGGGCGAATCCGTGGAACTCCCGCCCCTGCGCTATTCGCCCACATGGTCGCCTGCGAAACCATCAGGCCAGATCGAATCGAATCGGAGTCGCGGCTCCTGCCAGACATAGATGATGAAAAAACGGCATAAGCATAACCTTTCGACTGTCCGCGCGAATTTCTTGGACCCGCGCCGGACTCCCCTCGCTGGCGCGCGGAGCGCGCCAGGGGCGGCGCCGGAGGCGCCGCCTGAGGGGCCCCAGCGCGGATCCAAGAAATCCGCACGGAACGCTCAGAGTGTGTGGTTACGTATGCCCATTCTCTCCGACTATCGAATCGGATCGCCTATCGAATCGAATCGCAGGTGCGGCCCCGGTCGCACCCCCCGTCCCAGGGGTTGGACCTCTGGCGGCCCCGAGGGAGCGCAAGCGGGAGCGCGAGGGGGCTGCGGCCCGTGGACCGAGGCCGTGCAACACAGGGCGGCCGGAGGGCCACGACTGGCGGGGCGCACAATAGGACAGAGGGAGGGGAGAGGCCTTCCTGCTCCTCCTCCTCCTCCTCCTCCTCCTCCTCCTGCTCCTCCTCCTGCTCCTGCTCCTGCTCCTCCTCCTGCTCCTGCTCCTGCTCCTCCTGCTCCTCCTGCTCCGCCTGCTCCTCCCCCTCCTCCTCCTGCTCCTCCTCCTCCTCCTCCTCCTCCTTCTCCTCCTAGAGGCAGGGACTGGAGGGGACGAAGGGGTCGGAAGTGATTGAGGTGTAACGCGCGGCGCTGCGGATTCGAAGCCAGGAACCATCTCAAGACGGGATGGTCGGGAACCAGCCACAGCCGACCAGAGCGCCGTATTCAATCACGGGCCAGCGGACCACGGGCCGCCGAATCACGATGCATCTGGCATCGGGCCACCGAACCATTGTTGGCGGCGCGCACGAGGGGGTATGGTGGGCAGGAGCGTCTTAGAGGGAGGCTGCTTCTCAGACGGCGCCGGCTCTGCATCTGCAGAGAAGGCCCGCACCTTCTGAGGAGCAGAGGGTGCTTCTAAGAAGCCCTCCCCCTCACCCCCCCCTGTGCGCGTAGCCCGCTGCACCCCGAGTCCCTTTCTCGGGGCGGCTCCAGCCGTGCCGACGGGAGGGCTCCAGGAGGCCGAGACGCAACGAAGAGGGCGCCAGGGAGGACCGCCGCTGCTCCCCGACCGCCCCGTCCGAGACCCCCCTCGGCTCGCTCGCCGAACCCCTTCCGAGCGCCCCCGCCCCCGTCTGGGGGCCTCCCGAGGGGTCAGTAGCCCTCCCCCCTGCAGTGGGAGCTCGACCAGAAGAAACCCTCCACAAGAAACCCAACCCTGAGACCACAGGAGGTCCACTGATTGTTGGTGTGGGAACGGTCACGCTTTCCATCGCGAAAACATCGAAGCCCAAGAAACCCAGGGAACCCTGGAGGCCATCAAGGGTGCTTCTTGGCATGGGCTCCCACCGCGGTTAACCCTCCCCCCCTCAGCCCCCCTCCGCGTGGCTGACTGCGACAGGGCAGCATGCTCTGACTGAGCATCGCGCACTCATTCGTCGCGGCGGCCGGCGGTGGCGCCGCGCGGGGGGCGAGGCCCAGGTCGGGCCGCACAGGCGGCAAATCCACACCGAGGGGGCTGCGGGGGGCTGGCGAGGGCGGCCGCGGAGAGGGGCCCGCGGGCAGGCGAGGCGCCCAGGACCTGCAGTCCACGCCAGAAAGCATCGCGCACGCCTGGCCACGTGCAGAGGGGGGCAGGGGCAGGGAGGGAGGCGTCTCAGAAGGGGGGCTGCTTCTTCGAAGGCGCCTGCCTCAAGTTCATGGATGTAAGGCCCGCGCCGTCTCAGAAGCAGCCCCCTTCTAAGCAGCCATCCCCCCTTCCCCTGCCCCCCTCTGCGCGTGGCCGACACACAGGAGGGGGGTTGTGGCCACACCGGGGGCCACGGGAGGCACACCCGGCCCAGGGCGCCCGGCGAGGGAACTGCGAAGCAAACAAAGAATCCCCCGTTGGCCAGCCCACTCCTGCCGCATCGTAGTTTCATACATGACTCCTCCTTTCACCACCACCACCACCACCGTCATCATCATCATCATCCTCCTCCTCCTCATCATCATCATCATCATCATCATCATCATCATCATCATCAACAACAACAACATCATCATCATCATCATCAGCAGCAGCAGCAGCAGCACCATCATCATCATCATCATCATCATCAGCAGCATCATCATCAGCATCATCAGCATCATCAGCATCATCATCAACATCATCATCATCCTCATCAGCAGCACCATCATCATCATCAGCAGCAGCATCATCATCAGCAGCATCAGCATCATTATCACCGTCCATCATCACCAGCATCACCATCATCACAGTCAGCATCAGCATCATCAGCATCATCGTCGGCAGCATCAGCATCAGCATCAGCATCAGCATCAGCATCAGCATCAGCATCAGCATCAGCTTCATCATCATCATCATCATCAGCATCATCAGCATCATCATCATCATCATCATCATCATCATCATCATCATCATCATCATCATCATCATCATCATCATTATCGTCATCTTCATCATTGCCATTATCACCATCGTCATCATCAGCATCGCCATCGTCAGCATCATCTTTATCACCATCACCATCATCATAAGCACCCTGGTCAGCAGCAGCATCATAAACAAACGAATGCTGATCATCGTCATCACCAACATCATCAACTCAGTCAGCATCATCAGCAGACACAGCATTACCATCGTCATCGTCATCGTCATCATCATCATCATCATCATCATCATCATCATCATCGCCATTATCATAACCATCACCATCACCATCACCATCACCATCATCATCAGCAGCATAATCATCAGCATCATCATCATCGTAATCATCATCATCACCATCATCATCATCATCATCATCACCATCATCATCATCATCATCATCATCATCATAATCGGCATCGTCATCATCATCATCAATCATCAATCATCATCATCGTCACCATCATCCTAGTCATCATCATCATGATCCCTTTCGCATCCTCCTCCTCTTGCTCCTCCTCGTCATCATGCTCCTGATTCTCCGCCTGCGCCTCCTCCTGTTATTCCCTTCCCGGCGTCAATGCCGCGATCTCGCAGCCCTCGCAACGCTTCATACCCTCTCCAGGGAGCCTCCCTAGGGCAGCTGAAGGACAAGATGGCCAGTCGGTATCCGAGACGGGGGCAAAGGGCATCCGGGCCCTGTGCCTCTATCCCTTCATCCCACCATCCCCGCTCCTTTTCCTCCCTACCTTCCTTGTCCTCCTCTTCCTCCGGTCCCTTCTCCTCCCTCCTCTTCCCTGTCTCCTACACTCCCAGCCAGGACTGCCGGCCAGCCAGGCAGCTCGGGCAACCCCTGGGGGGCGGCAAGGAGCGACGGCCCAGGCCGCTCGCTCAGCCCCCCCGCGACCCCAAGCGGCGGCACAAAAAAGGTGTAGTCGAGGTTGATTGGAGAGGACACGCGAGAGGACACACGACCCTTTCGGGGAGACGCAAGACTCGGGTTCGGGAGACTCGGGTGGGCCTGACGGGGCCATCATGAAGATGACGTGACCCAGTCTGAGACTTGACGCGGGCTCCCGCTGCAAACATCCCACGAAAACCGGACCGTCGAATTCCAGGACGCGCTCGTCAGAAAGCGCCAGCGAACCCGAGCTCCAGCGTGCTCGAGTCTTACCTTTCCACGACCCTTCCGAGGGCCACATTGCCATAGGAATGTAGAATAGAAGGAGAAAAAACGGCACACTAAACTCTTGGCGCTCCGCGCGGATTTCTTGGATCCGCGCTGGACCCCCCTCCCTGGCGCGCGGAGCGCGCCAGGGGCTGCGCCGCAGGCGCTGCCGGGGGGGCCGAGCGCGGATACAAGACATCCGCACGGAGCGCCAAAAGTTTCTGTTTATGGCGTTTTTTTTCTTCTTCGACAAAGGGCACGAGGGTACCCTAGAATTGGCAGGGTCGACCGACTATAATCAGCCTCGACGGTAGGCGGACGGGTGATGCCGCCGGCGGATCGCCCCCCACGGCCTGCCTGCGGCACATTCGTGCCGTGGCGACCCTGGGGCTGGTTTCTGGCACCGCGCGCATCGTCGGACCTTGAACGATAGGCGGTTCTCCGGTCGACAACTCGTTCCACATCGGCCGGCTCTGGGCCACTGGCGTTAGGTCGGGCGTGTCCCCCCACAGGCGGACCGTGGACGAAAAATTAAAGATACCCCCAAAATATTCAAAACTACTGAAAAAATGGTCGAAAAATCGTCCCCAAACTATGTTTGAATATTCCTCCTGTAATTGGAGGGGCACGCCAGACTGAAGACTTGCGCCGTTCAACCTTGAGCACCCCCGTCGGGGTCGCCGCCGCGTCGACGCGACACGACCCCACTGTGACGCATCGGCGATGCATCGCCGATGCGGCGCGATCCTCCGACCCCATCTACTCCGACCCCATCTAGGAAGCCTAGTTGCTTTCCGATCGACAACCCGTTCCACATCGGCCTGCTCTGGGCCACTGGCGCCGTCCGACCTTGAGCACCCCCGTCGGGGTCGCCGCCGCGTCGACGCGACACGGCCTACTTGGGACGCGACAGAGAGGGACAGACACGGCGGGCGCAGGCTCGGTGTCGGCACGATGCGGAAGGAGGAGTGAGCAAGGAGCGCCCCCTCTTCCTCCTCCTCCTCCTCCTCCTCCTCCTCCTCCTCCTCCTCCTCCTCCTCCTTCTCCTCCTCCTCCTCCTTCTCCTCCAGTCCTTCTCCTTATAGATAACTCCTCCCTATCACGCCCCGAGGCCAGTTTCTACGGCGGGCCAGGCGTTTCGCCCGAGACTTCCTCACCATTGATGACTGTGACGCTTAGAAAGTGGCAACAGCTTCACAGATGGAGGGCGGGTGGTTTTCACAATGTGGCTCTCGCCTTAGCGCCGCCCGCATTCATTTTCAAAATTTGCAAGGGTTTCACGGATTGAGGGCGGGTCGTTTTCAACATGTGGCCATCGCCTTAGCACCGCGCACACTATTTGACAACAGTTGTAAGAGCTTCACGGATTGAAGGCGGGTCGTTTTCAAAATGTGGCTCTCGCCTTGGCATCGCGCACATTATTTGACAATTCGCAAGAAATTCACGGATTCAGGGCACGTCGCTTTCAAAATGTGGCTCTCGCCTTGGCGCCGCGCACATTCGTTGTAAAAAAATGCAAGAACTTCACGGATTGAGGGCGGTTTCTTTTCAAACTGTGGCTCTCGCTTTCGCGCCGCGCGCGTTCGTTTAAACGAGCTGCAAGAGCTTCACGGATTCCCATGATCAACGTATCAAAAATTGGGTTGGGGAAGGATTCAGGATTATGCGGGTGCAACAATTATGTTGGTTCGCGGTGCTGGAATCAAAAAAATGGCGTTACGGCACGATTCCGGATCGCCAAACCGCAGTCGTCAGGTTGATACGTGGCGTTCAAATCCCGAGAACAATGTGTGGCATGCTTCAGGACTTTCAAACGGTTGTCTTCCAACGAGGCAATCCCTTGAATGGAAATGAACCGTTGTAGGGGCCGATGAAGCGGGAGCATGGAGGGAGGGTCAATTCCAACATCGTTGATGACTCTTGGGTTTACACTGGTCCTCCTCCTCCTCCTGCTCCTCCTCCTCCTCCTCCTCCTCCTCCTCCTCCTCCCCTCTTCTCCTCCTCTCTTCTTCTCCTCTCCTCCTCCTCTCTCCTCCTCCTCTCTTCTCCTCCTCCTCGTCCTCCTCCTCCTCTTCATCCTCCTCCTCCTGCTCCTGCTCCTCCTCCTTCTCCTCCTCCTCCTCCTCCTCCTCATCCTGAATCCTACCAGCCCTCTGGGCGAAGGCGGCTTAGCGATACGTCTTCCCCTTCGGGGAGAGGTACACTTCTCCACCTACCCTCTCTCCCTGAGTTTGGAGGAGCGTGGTCGCAAAGCGCTGGCGTCCAAGAGCGCTCCGAGAAGGGCCCACGAGGGCTCCAAGGCGGTCTCGATAGCGCCCAAGAGCGCCCAAAGAGCGCCCAAATGGGGTCCCAAGATGCAATGTTTCGGACTCCAGCGGGGGGGGCATAATTGTTCATCCCCCATATGTATCGATGGCCTCCAAGATGCCCCCCCCCAAGGCCCCCCAAGGAACCCCAAGAGAGACCCAGGGGAGCCTAAAGGGCCTCCACCATGGCCTAAAGAGGGCCCCAAAATCCGCGGAGGCATTCATGGGTGACTCCTGGGCCTGCTCAGGCTGATCCCGATCTTCGGTTCGACGTCTGCAGCCCCATCTTTTGTATCACTTCTTCCGCACTTCCCTGATCAATGCAAAGAACTTCCCCAGGCATCGCTTCTACATGGGCCAATGGGGATGCGCAAAGCCGCAAGGATTGTCCTCCTCCTCCTCCACCTCCGCCTCCTGGCCTCTTCTGCGCCTCAACCGCTAGCTTTCCGTTCCTGGCTCTCTGCCGCGTGTACCTGTCAGACGCTCGCCGCAGTATACTCCCGGCGGCACTTGCCACACACTCGATCGCCCTGCCGATCGCAGCTTCCTGCCTTGCCCCCCCGCTGGTGGCGCACCTGCTTCTCTTCGATTGCTCTGGAGAACTCCTTGCGTCGTGGGGCGGCGCGGTCGCATACCCCGAGTGCCGACAGCACATGCGGACACGCGCACGTGCACACACGCGCTCACGCCCACGCGCAAAAACATGATCGGCGGCGAGCGAGGGGGGGAAGTGAGAAGGGGCGGGCCTTCTCAGAAGGTTCGGGAATCCCCCGGCCGTTTGAGAAGTTTTCTCAGCCTTCCCGAAAAACACAGAAAGCTTCTCGGAAGACCGGAGGGCTTCTGAGGAGAAGTCCCGCCGCCCTCTGAGAAGGCCTTTTCCTTCTCACTTCCCCCCCCGCTCGCCGCCGAAAACCATGTGCACGTTTCCGCACATCGCAATGCACACCACCCTGCACCCGCCCTACGGCTCAAGACACGCTGAGTTTCCTCGACTCGCTCCGAAGCGTGCCTGAGCTGGGGTGGGTGCCTCGGAAGAAGCCCTCGAAAACGACACTCGAGGCCCGAGGCAAAAATGTGGGCACGGGACGCGAACCCGCAAGAGTGCGCCGGCTGCACGGAGTCTTCAAAGAAGTAAACACACAGTAAGGCTGTAACCATTTCTCTATTGTGAAATAATCGCCCTTCCCCTCCCCCAAAGCGCCACGCCACATCGGCAGACCAAAGTGGCGACCCCCTCCTTGGGCCCCGAATCCTAAAATATCGAATGATAATCAATGGCCTTCGCCCCTTTGGGTCCAAGAGGGCCCCAAGACGACCCCGCGACGGCCCAAAGAGACCCCTAGAGGTCCACGACTGCCCAAAAGGGCCCCAAGACGACCGAAGATGGCCGAACCGATGACTTTTCTGTTAGCTCCCCAACGAATAAGTCTGCCTGATGTTGCATGCACGCCCAAGCTGCAGGGGCTCTGAGACAAAACGGCGATGGAAACGGACAAAAAGTCGCGTGCTGCGTTATCGCCCCTTGCCTCGTCTGCATCTATCTTGTCAGAATTCGATCGAATTCAGAAATTTACCTTTTTGATGACGTCATAAAAAATTGTTGTTTACTTACGAATCCGTCATACAATTAGCCTGGCGAAAGACCCAACCATATGCAGTTCTTAGTATCGCACTTGTGGGTATCGTCTTCGGCGGGGCTCCCGCATCGGGCCACGAAACGCTGCACCCGGCGGGGCAGGTGCATGCGGGCTGCGCCACTGGGACCTTCGATGGAGCTCCCTATGGGGCCACGGAGCGCTGTACTGGGTGGGGGAGACGCACGCGGGCTGCGTACTTAGGGCCTTCGGTGGAGCTCCCTATGGGGCCACGAAGCGCTGTACTGGGTGGGGACGCATGGGGGCTACGCCCCCGGGACCGTCGGTGGAGCTCCCTACGTGGTCATGAAACGGTGTACTGGGTGGGGGAGACGCATGCTGGCTGCGCCACTGGGACCGTCGTTGGAGCTCCGTATGGGGCCACGACGAAATGCTGTACCGGGTGGTGGAGACGCACTCGGGCTGCGCCCCTGGGGCCTTCGGTGGAGCCCCATATGTGGCCACGCAGCGCTGTACTGGGCGGGGGAGACGCATGCGAAATGCGCCCCTGTGACCGTCGGTGGAGCTCCCGACGGGGCCACGAAGCGCTGTACGGGGTGGGGACGCATGCGGGCTGCGCCACTGCGACCTTTGGCGGAGCTCCCTACGTGGCAACGACACGCTGTACTGGGGGGGGAGACGCATGCGGGCTGCGACACAGGGACCTTCGGTGGAGCTCCCTAATTTCGGGGCCACGGAACGCTGTATCGGGTATGGGAGACGCATGCAGGCTGCGCCACTGGGACCTTCGGTGGAGCTCCATATATGGCCACGAAACGCTGTACTGGGTGTGGGGTGGGGGGCGCATGTGGGCTTCGCCACTGGGACCTTCGGTGGAGTTCCCTAGGGGGCCACGAAACGCTGTACTGGATGGGGGAGACGCATGCGAGTTGCGCCACTGGGACCTTCGGTGGAGCTCACTACGGGGCTACGAAACGTTGTACTGAGTGTCGGAGACGCATGCGGGCTGCGCCACTGGGACCTTCGTTGGACTCCCCTGTGGGGCCACGCAACGCTGTACTGGGTGGGGGGGGGGCGCATGCGGGCTGCGCCACTGTGACCTTCGGTGGACTCCCTATGGGGCCACCAAGCGTTGTAGTGGGTGGGGAAGACGCATGCGGGCTGCGCCACTGGGACCTGCGGTGGAGCTCCCTATGTGGCCACGAAGCGCTGTACTGGGTGGGGACGCGTGCGGGCTGCGCACTCGGGACCGTCGGTGGAGCTCCCTATGGGGACCCGAAACGCTATACTGGGTGTGGGAGACGCATGCGGGCTGCGCCCCTGGGGCCGTCGGTGGAGCTCCATGTATTGTCCAGGGCTTGGGCCCCCCCCCCCCAATGCTGATGCCATTGCCCCCCCCCCCGCGCGATGTTCCCCCCCGCCCCCCCCTGTGGGCGTGGCGTGGTGCTGCGCTGCGGTGCCCCCCTCCCCCCCCCCTGTGGATGTGGTGTGGTGCTGTGATGGTTCAGAGGTGGGCGTGGCGTGGTGCTGCGCTGCGGTGCCCCCCTCCCCCCCTGTGGATGTGGTGTGGTGCTGTGGTGGTTCAGAGGTCGTTGTCGTCGTCGTCGTCGTCGTCGTCGTCCTCGTCGTCCTCGTCGTCCTTGTCGTCCTCGTCGTCATCGTCGTCGTCGTCGTAGTCGTCGTCGTCGTCATCGTCGTCGTCGCCGTCGTCATCGTCGTCATCGTCGTCGTCGCCGCCGCCGCCGGCGTCGTCGCAGCCGCAGCCGTCGTCGTCGTCGTCGTCGTGGTCGTCGTCGTCGTCGTCGTCCGTCGTCGTAGTCGTCGCCGTCGCCGTCGCCGTCGTCGTCGTCGTCCGTCGCCGTCGTCCGTCGTCCGTCGCCCGTCGCCGTCGCCGTCGTCGTCGTCGTTGTCGTCGTCGCGTCGTCGTCCGTAGTCGTCGCCGTCGCCGTCGCCGTCGCCGTCGCCGTCGCCGTCGCCGTCGCCGTCGCCGTCGCCGTCGCCGTCGCCGTCGCCGTCGCCGTCGTCGTCGTCGTCGTCGTCGTCGTCGTCGTCGTCGTCGTCGTCGTCGTCGTCGTGGGGACCATGCCATCTGGGGGGGGGGGGGGCCCGAGGAATCCTGGGACCATACCATCTGGGGGGGGGGCCGTGGGCCCGGAGCCCGGGACCATATATATCGCCACGAAGCGCTGTACCGAGTTTGGGAGACGCACGCGGGCTGCGCCACTGAGACCTTCGGTGGAGCTAGCTGCTAGCTCCCTATGGCGCCACGAAGCGCTGTACTGGGTGAGGGAGGCGCATGCGGGCTGCGCACCTGAGACCGTCGGTGCAGCTCGCCATGGGGCCACGAAGCGCTGTACTGGGTGGGGGAGACGCATGCGGGCTGCGACACAGGGACCTTCGGTGGAGCTCCCGATGGGGCCACGAAGCGCTGTACAGGGTGGGGAAGACGCATGCGGGCTGTGCCACTGGGACCTTCGGTGGAGCTCCATATATTGCCACGAAACGCTCTACATGGTGGGGGAAACGCAAGCGGGCTGCGCCGCTGGGACTTTCGGTAGAGCTGGCCACGAAGCGCTGTACTAGGCGTGGGAGGCACATGCGGGCTGCGCCACTGGGACCGTCGGTGGAGCTCCCTATGGGGCTGCGAAACGCTGTACTGGGTGTCGGAGACGCATGCGGGCTGCGCAATTGGGACCTTCGGTGGAACTCCTGTGGGGCCACGAAACGCTGTGCTGGGTGTGATAAACGCATGCGGGCTTCGCCAGTGTGACTGTCGGTGGAGGTCCGGCTACGAAACGCTGTACTCGGTGTGGGATACGCATGCGGACTGCGCCACTGGGACTTTAGGTGGGGCTCCCAATGGGGACACGAAGCGCTGTACAGTCGGGGCCCGACCACAAGGAATCTTACATAAGAAGCCCAACCCTGAGACCCCAGGACGTCCATTCATATTTTGTATGGCAACGTCGCGCTCTCCATCGCAAAACCATCGAAACCCAAAAAAAACAAGGGCACCATGGAGGCAAGCAGGGTGTTTCTTGGCATGGGCCTCCACTGTACTGGGTGGAGAGACGCATGCGGGCTGCGCCACTGGGACCTTCGGTGGAGCTTCCTATTGGGACCACGGGGCGCTGTTCTGGGTGGGGGAGACGCGTGTGGGCTGCGCCACTGGGACGTTCGGTGGAGCTCTATATATAGGGGAGAGCGTGATCCACCGCCGCTTTACTGTGGAAAATTGCCAGCCTTTTCCTCCCGAGCCCGGGGGTCGCCCCCACCCCCCCCTCCGAAAATCCCCCCCCCCCCCCCCCCCCCCCCCCCCCCCTCCCCCCCCCCTGGACCCCCCCCCCCCCCCCCCAACCCCCCCCCCCTCCCCCGGCAAACCCCCCCCTCCCCTCCCCCCCCCCCTCTCAAAAACCGGGGGGGGCCACTACCGGTTCGAACCCCCCCTCCCCCCCCCCCTCCGGATCTGGAAAACCGGGGGGGGCACTATTCGAGCCCCCCCCCTCCGGATCTGGAAAACCGGGGGGGGTCACTACCGGTTCGACCCCCCCCCCCCCTCGAAAACCCGAGGGAGGGTCACTACCGGTTCGACCCCCCTCCCCCACGCACCGCCAGCAAACGACTCCCGGTCCCTACCACCGTCCGCATCACATCCCCCACTGTTGTTCCCAGCACCACTGTCCTCACCACCACTGTCCCCACTGGTTCCACCACCGTCCCTACTGTCCCCACCAGTGCCCCCACCACTGTCGCACTGTCCCCACTGTTCCCACCACTGTTCCCACCACGGTTCCACTCTCCCCACTGTCTCCACGGACCCAACCACTGCCCGACTATCCCCACTGTCCCCACTGTCCCACTGACTCCTCCGCTGTCCCACTGAGCTGTCCCACTGTTCCCACCACTGTCCCCACTGTCCCCACCACTGTCCCCACTGTACCTCTGTCCCATTGTCCCACCGCCGTCCTCGCCACCGCCTTCACCTGTCCCCACCACCATTGTACCCTCCA